CTGCTCTGACTCATGCACATGGAGGTTTGACCCAGTCGCCTGCCAAACCCGTACTGTTGGCTCCACACAGGTTAAGTGAACATGAATGGGAAAGAATTTTCCATCATAGAAGGCTTTAGAGTTGAGCCAGGAGGCGAGAGGAAGCTGTTGAGTGGCGCAGGCCCCTGGCGATGGGTGCTGTGGCCTCTTGTCGCCACGGCACAGCCGCCGGCATAGCAGGAGGGAGGCTGTGGGGATGAGCCCGGAGTGGGAGCTTCAGAGGCTGTGGTGTGTGGCGGGGGGGGGGGGGGTGAGGATTTTAAGCCCTGGGGACACTTCCAGTAAACAGCAGGGGGAGGTGACAGGGTGTCCTTGCTTCTGCCTGGTAGAGGGGCCACCGCCTGTCCCTGGCCTTCCCTCTGCCCCCGCCGCCTGGCTCCCACTTGTGGTGTAAGCAGGTGAGGTGACCCTCTGCCTCCAGACTGATGACTGGTCACTGTAGAGAGAAGGCATCGAGCAGCAGCAGGTTCACTCGCTGCAAAGTGGGCTCCTTCATCACTCTGCCGCCGAGTTCAGCTGTGTCCCCTGCACTTGGCCTTCGCTAGGTCTGGCGTCGTTTAAAAGCCGAGAGCCGGCGTTTTCGGCAGGGCTTCCTTCTGGAGTCCAGGCTACTCTGCCACGCGTGGAGATGAGCGTCGGGAAGTGGCGCGGCGCCGTTCCTGAGCAGCTCGAAGCTGCTTCTGCACAGGAAGATGTGTGCCCGTCGGGGGGGTGGGGGGGGCTGGCGCCACGCTTGGCCCAGCTGCTCCTTTCCTGACCCCTCCCCAGATGCCTCCCGGCCACGTCCCGGTACCTGGGTTTGACTCCTAAGAAGATGGGATTTAAAGAAAACCAGAACCCAAGCTCTTAGCCTGGCAGACTAGATGCCTGTCCCAGATGGTAGTGCCAGGGGTTGGTTCCTCTGGCTTCTGACCCCTGCTGACGCCCACGCTGGGAGGCAGTGGTGACGGCTGCGCCACCGCACAGGAGGCCTGTATGGAATTCCGAGCTCCTGGTTTCAGCCCTGGCCCAGTCTCAATCACTGCAGGCTGGAGATCTCTCTCTCTCTCTCTCTCTCTCTCTCTCTCTCTCTCTCTCTCTCTCAAATAAACAAGGTGCGGGGCCACTTGAGGGAGCGCGGTCCAGCGGTGCAGCTGCGGGCGGTTCCTCTCGGCGCGGCCTCAGGGAGAGTGCGAGGGTCCTGTGTCGGGCGGCTGATGAAGGGGGCTGGGAGAGGGGCCAGCCCAGCCAGCACCAGGATGTGGACACCGCGCGGGCCTCTGGCGCTGCTCTGGCACCTGGACCCGTGTCCGCCCGAGTGCCTGCCGCGCGGGCTGCTTCCTTCCTGACGGGAAGAGGCGCTTCCTGCTCCTTGGCTGTCCATGCCGCACTTGGGCCTGCTCCCCTTCTCTGTTCCTTCCCCACCTCAGAAGCGTGGACGACGTCCTTCCAGTTGCTCAGGCAGAAACCGAACACAGCCCCTCCCCCGTGCCCGCTTCTGCTGGCTCCCCAGAGCTGCCCAGCATCAGTGTGGCCCTGCTCCCACGGCCAGCGCTGAGATGCCTGGAAGCGCACAGAGGGTGTGGGTGGGATCTGTCGAATGCCAGGCCTCGCTGGGGCAGGGAGGGGTTCAGATAGTGAGGGGTGGGTGTGTCGCTCTTGGTAGTGCTGCCTCATTGGTAGCATGGTGTAGCACAGACAGGTCGAATGCTAGGACTAGGGCTTTGGCTTTATGATCTTTGTTCAAATTTTTTAAAAGAATTCCCGAGAACGTTAGCCGGCCTGGTGTGCAGGCCCGGGCTTTTCCGCTGGCGCTCTGCTGCTCTCCTGAGTCCTGTCCTCTTGAAGAGTTGTTTCCTGCCGCAGCATCGTGCTTCCTGCCTCAGGTTCTCACCCGCTGGATGGTGGCATTTTATTAAACGAGGCATTGTTGGATGAGAGGTTATTGGAATTTGCGTGTGCCTCAGAGCCTCGCCCCCGTCAGCATGCCACTAGGGACTCACTGGCCCTGTCGTTCCGGGGCTGTGCTGTGCCAGTGAGGGCCCCTGATGTGGTCAGCCCCTGGCTGAGGGGACCCTGGCCTGTGTCTTCATCTGCCAGCCCTGTGAGACCAGGGGACACCCGAGGCCTGGCCTGGGGTGAGAAGAGTGAGGAGGGCCTGCGACCAGTCCTTAGGCCTCAGGTAGCAGGGAGGCCCTGGGGTTCGCGCCCTCACCGTACAAATGGGCAGAGTGCTGCCCAGGCAGGTGGCAGGCAACACAGGACTGGGCCTGAGTAGGGGGCTGCTCTTGGTGGGCAGGCAGTCCTGTGGGGAGCAGCTGCCTTCGCCCCACGCTCAGCTCCTCTGTGCTGGGAAGTTCGAAAGGCATCCTGATTGGCCAGTCGGTGATGCAGCCCCTCGCTGGGTTTGAGAAGGTTTTCTGTCGACCACACCTCTGTCCTGGTCCTGCTGCAGAGGCCGCCAGCCCTAGCATGCTGGGGTGCGGATCCCGCCTGCCCAGCTCCCCGGGAGCAGATGCCCTGTGCAGGCCCCACAGTAACCACCGCAGCTGTGGAGGAGGCGCCAGCCCAGTGCACCCTCTGCACGGCCGGCTCCGCCCCTCCAGCTGTGCTTGTCCCTCGAAAGGTTGGGGGAGGGGTACAGCAGATCATCCCCCACCCCCACCATGGCCCTGCTCAGAGAGGCACAGGGCAGGCGGGCGGGGTGTTCATTGTGAGGCCGGCCATCACTTCTGAGCCTCGCGTTGGCCGAGTTCCAGAGCTTTGGTTTCTTAGTGAGCTGCCTTGACACTGCGCATCAAGCACAGGCCGGTGGGCTCCTGGGCCCTCTGCCAGAGGCCTGCACCAGCTACCGGCTCAGGGGCCAGGGTGGGTCTGTGGGGCTGGAGAGGGTAGCCGCATGAGGGGTGACTAAGACCCCTGCTCATGACTGGAGCAAGCAGAAGACCTTGGTCTCCCACAGGAGTGACAGTGAGACGTGGCCTCTCAGGTGCGGCCTTGCAGCCGGCTCTTCAGGCTGCCTCGCCCTGTGGGCTGGGCGTCTCAGGCAACTTCCCGTAGGATCTCGGGTTCCAGGGAGCTTTGTGGAACAGAACCCGGGGCTTACGAGGATGGAGCTACCCTGGGAGAGGCCCCTCTTGGCTGGAGCAGAGGCAGAGTGGGGAGTACAGGGGTCTGTGTGTCGGGGGTGTGGTTTCTTCTCCCCACCCACCTGCGGCCCCCCACCCTGCGGTTGGCACCAGGCCAGACTGGGGGCTTTACTGTGAGAGGGGAGAGGATGAACAGCGACTTGTCCGTGTGCCCTCGGCAGACAGGACAGGTAGCCGGTGAGCTGGCTGGACAGGGTTGACGACCAGGACACGTAGTTGGAGGAGGAACACGTCACAGAACTGAGTGGGCATGGAGGGATGGGGGCGTTGAGCAGGCAGGCTGAGTGGCAGCTGCAGGCCGAGCCTTTGGGGTCCGGGAGTGACAGATGTGGCTGGGACCTCACACACACCTGGCCTGGTCATGTTGGGGTCAGCCATGGTACCTGGTGGTGCTCAGTGGGTAGGAGTTCTTGAGCCCCTGCCCTCCATCCAGACACGGTGAGGAGCACCCCCGGGGGACATGGCCTTTGGGATGAGCTTCCTGTGACAGCAGAGGCTTGGGCACCCAGACCATTGCTGGTCCCCTCTGCCTGCAGCTCCAGAATCACAGACAGCTGTCCCTTCCTGGCCTTCCAGTCCGAGTCCACCGAAGGGCACATTTGGGCAGGGCCCTGCACTGGGGCTCGTTTGTGAAATAAGCTGCTTTACAGAGGCTGCCAGTGAGTCAGCTCCCGCGTGTCCCGTCAGTGGTGCTGGGACCCATTCCTTGCCAGGAGGTGGCCTCACCCAGGACGGGCCCTCCCAGGGTGGTGCTCGCCAGCGAGGACGCGGATGGAAGCAGGGGCTCGGCTAGGGCAGGCGTGACGCCGTCTGCGTGGCTGTGGCCGTGGGCGCCACCTGTGCCGTGGGAAGGAGTTGAGGAGCTTGGCAGCTAAGTTTCTTTTTTTGTCCCCTGGTCAACTCTGGGCGACTTTTTTTTGAAGAGCCTGCCTCTCCCGGTCTCATTTCTCCTGCCCCCCTTGGGACGTCGAGGCTGGAGGCGGGAGCCCGGGGCGGCCCCTTTAAGACCGCCGTGTCCCAGACCCTGCTGTGGAATGCCAGCCGCCTCCCGCTGTCCTCCTGTCTCTGTGAGGGTTAACAACACTTCAGCGTGTTGTCTGGAACCGGTTCAGACTGGTTTTCTGGAAAGTGCTTTGTCTCTCCGACTGAATCCTGGGAAGGGTCATGTGGAGCCCAGTGATGTCATGGGATCAAAAACTGACTCAGCTGTTTTTTTCTTCTTTTTCTTTCTTCTTTAAATCAAGATATGTGTGTGCTGCAGGTACAGGGCGGTGGCACACCCACGGGCAAGGCACCACCCTGCTCAAAGTGTACCTGCCTGGCACCCAAAGGGTTAAGCGTGGCCCCCACTGCCCACTCCTCAGAGGTCAGCAGGGAGTGAGAAGACCCCCACCGCCTTTCAGGGACGGGGAGAAGCGGGGTCCGGCCGAGTTACTGCAGTGCAGGCAGGGCTGGACCCAGGCCCAGCCTCGCTCCTGGGACAGTGCGGTCACCCCCTGCCCGGGTTCCAGCCACCACCATCCAGTGCAGGTGCTCAGAGCCCATAGGCCAGGCTGCCTCTGTCTGGAGTATGTAGGATTCCTCTTCTCCCTGCTCAGCGGCCACCTTCCTTTGTTCCTGTCGGGGCCCCTGACAGGGTAGCCTGCAGCTCTGGCTTCCCCGAGGCAGGGAAGAAATGTCCTGGGCGAGCTGTGGTGGGCCCCGCGCTGCTCTTGCCTGCCTCTGCCGTCACTGCACAGCGGCCAGGGAGGCGCTCAGCGGTGCTCGGCGCTGTCTGAGAAGGTCCCAGTTTCGTGGCCGCCAGTCACCTTGTTGTGTCTTCTCCTCCCGAAGTTCAGAATGACGGAGGAAGCATGCCGGACCCGGAGTCAGAAGCGCACGCTTGAACGGGACCCAGCGGAGGACGATGCGGAGAGCAAGAAAATAAAAATGGAGAGAGGATTGTTGGCTTCAGACTTCAGCGCTGACGGAGACCCGAGGGTCACACCTGAACCGGGAGCGGGCCCAGCCCCAGGACTGCTGAGGGCAGCAGAAGTGACTGTGTCGGGCCGAGGTGAAGGACCAGCTGGCGACGGGCCTGTGGATATGCGCACCTCACACAGGTGAGTGGGAGGAGCCAGCAGAGGTGGGGGCGAGCCTCGGCCCAGGCCTGGGGGAAGCCGCTGAAGGGTAACTGTGCAGGTGTCTGTGTGCCCTAGCGTTGTCCCCACTGGCAGCTGTGCTGGACTGGCCAGGGGACCTTCTTGCTGGGACCCCAGATCCTGGACGTCGCGTGGCCGGGGTGGGAGCAGTGCCTGCCGTCAGCACGTAATCGCTGTGTTTGTGCTGCCGTGTGTCCCGACTCGGCGCTTCGGTTTGTAGGAAGACTTGAGGTTTTCGGTTAGTTGTGCTTCCCTGCTTTCCGTATGTGGAGGTTGGGTTGCCAGGGGTGCTCGCCTCTCCTGGATGAGGAGCCCAGCATGCTGCTGCCAGAGGAGAGGGCCACACCGCCAGCTCGGCATCTCCTCTGTCCGCTCTCCACCGCCTGCTCTGCCGGCCTCTCCTTGGTCACTGCTGACTGCAGGAGGTTCCCTGATACTCAGCTTCGTGAGGTTCTTGAGGTGAAAGCTTGAAAGAAAACAGAGACTCCGTTTCCCACGTTACTTCTCCATTCAGATACCTTTATTGTTCTGTGAAAAATTCAGACCCACATCTGCCCCGGCATCGCCCCTCCCTCACCCAGAGTTCTCCAGGATGCTCACTCCCAGATGCCTCCTGGGTGCAGCCCCCGGTGGCCTGTAACAAGCTCGCCTGTGGCCCTGGCTCACTGCCTCTCACCATCCGCCAGAGCCCTCCCCATGGGTGTTGCCTGGCCCCCAAGAAGGGCCCCAAACTCCCTTTTTTTTAAAAGATTTATTTATTTATTTGAAAGAGTTACACAGAGAGAGGAGAGGCAGAGAGAAAGGTCTTCCACCCGCTGGTTCACTCCCCAGATGGCCGCAACGGCTGGAGCTGCGCCAGTCTGGAGCCAGGAGCCAGGAGCTTCCTCCAGGTCTTCCATGCAGGTGCAGGGGCCCAAGGACCTGGGCCATCTTCCACTGCTCTCCCAGGCCACAGCAGAGAGCTGGATGGGAAGTGGAGCAGCCGGGACTCAAACTGGTGCCCACATGGAATGCCAGCACTGTAGGTGGCGGCTTTACCCACTATGCCACAGCGCCGGCCCCGCCCCAGACTCCCTTCTTAGCGTGGAGTCCCTTGTGGCGCCCAGGTCGTTGGGACCTCAGCACTTTAGAGATTGGTCTGGCATTTCTTAGCTGCTTGAGGTAAATGGTGAACTCTGACCCCCCCCCCCCCGGTTCTGGAAGCCGCACTTTGTGTCCTGCCATCCAGAAAAGCCTCTTGTGTTCGTGCTTCCTGCAGCCCCTCAGAGGGAACTAGTGGGCCAAGGCCCCTTCCAGTCCCTGTGGCATCTCAGGTGGGTGATCAGCAAGTGGCAGGTCGGCCTTCACGGGGTCTGCTGGGTCCCCCTGCATCCCTGGGACCCCAGTGTGTCTTTCCTCCTGCAGTCACCATGCTCCCTGTTGTCTGAAATGCACAAGGCAGGGTGCTTACAAAGAGCAGTGGTTTATTTAGCTCACCACTTGGAAGGCTGATGTCTGAACAGCATGGTGCTGATTCTGTGGAGGGCCCCGACTGCACGGCATCATGGGGGGGGGGGGGTCGTGCAAGCTGGAGGCCAGGGCGGGGCCAGGCCTGCTCTTCCACAGCCGCCCTCCTGTGAGCGCTGACCAGGGTCCAACAAAAAACCACCTTAATCTCTTGCTATGGGCAAGGCCCTTCCAGGACCTCCCACTAGGTGCCACCTCTTAAAGGGCCAGAGGTCCCCAGTGCCTCTTCAACGTTGCCACACTTGGAACTGCTTGCAGACCAGACTCCCTGTAGGCAGGAGGAGGTTAATGTTGGATAATCTTAGAGTGGGGGCTTGATTGCCAGAGCCTGGGGCCACGTCAGGCCCGGGGCCTCTCTCGGTCCCTCTCCCCACTGTGTAGTTGGCTGTCACGGGCAGATGTGACTGTTGTTTGCCTAGAGTGGAATGGGATGCTTTTGTGACATCTAGGACACAAAGGAGCGGGCACTGGGATAGGGGTTCTCCAGCCCTGGACGCAGCCCAGCCTGCTGGTGAAGCAACGTGAGAGTGCACAGAGTCTGGCTTTGGAGGCCGCCAGGCAGAGCAGGGCTCACATCTTGCTCCCTGGCGGATCCTGTGTGGAGAGCTCACCCTGTCTCGGCCTTGCACGCGGAATCAGCCCCGCGCCAACCCTCCTCCGGTCTGTGCAGGGTGCGGCACGCCCCCTGGGGGAATTGGTGTCCCTAGTTCTCGCATGGAGGTCCCACCTGGTTCTCAGAGGAGCAGAGTTGTGAGTTGTGACAGAGTCGCAGGGTCACCTTCTGCCCGAGGAGTGGGCAGTCTCTGGACCCCTGTTGGGAGTGTCTGGGGGATGCTCGTCTCCAGGTTAGGGTTCATTTCTCTCTCAGGGCTTGGCTGTGTCTAGACGTGGGTTAGGGAGGCTGAAGCCCTTTGGCTTTGGATTCAGTGTGTCTTATAAGGCTGATAAAACTATTTTAATTAATTTTTATTTTTATTGATGTATTGAGAGGGAGAGACATAAAGATACCCCTCATCAGCTGGTTCACCCCCTCAGTGGCCACAGTGGCCAGGGCTGGGTCTTGCTGAAGCCGGAAGCCAGGGACTCGGTCAGGTTTCCTACATGGGTGGCAGGAACCCAATTCCTGGAGCCATCGTTGCCGCCTTCCAGGGTCTGTGTTAACAGGAAGCTGAAACCAGCAGGTGGAGCTGGCAGTCAGAACCTGGGTACTTGGAATCGGCTTGCAGGCGTCCTCACTGCGAGGCTGAACGCCTGCCCCCAATGTGGTTTGTTTTCTTTCTTTCTTTCTTTCTTTCTTTCTTTCTTTCTTTCTTTCTTTCTTTCTTTCTTTCTTTCTTTCTTTCTTTCTTTCTTTCTTTCTTTTTTTTTTTTTTTTAGATTTATTTATTTTTTGGAAGAGTTACACAGAGTGGAGAGGCAGAGAGAGAGAGAGAGGGGTCTTCCATCCACTGGTTCACTCCCCAATTGGCTGTAATGGTCGGAACTACGCCTGTCTGAAGCCAGGAGCCTGGAGCTTCTTCCGGGTCTCCCACAGGGATGCAGGGGCCCAAGCACTTGGGCCATCGTCTGCTGCTCTCCCAGGCCACAGCAGAGAGCTGGATTGGAAGTGGAGCAGCCAGACTGGAACAGCAGCCCATATGGGATGCTGGCACTGCAGGCGGTGGCGTTACCCACTGTGCCACAGCACCGGCCCCGCCCCTAACGTTTAATTGAAGTATAGCCAACTGGAAAGCACGTGTACACACCACGGACGAGCGTCACTGCCCCCCCACCCCCGTGTGCCCCCCGAGGGCAGCCTCACTCCTGACAGTGGATCAGTGTTTCCTGCCTGTGTTTTAAATACATAAATGGAGTTCTACAACACGTGCCCTTTGTTCTTACTTTAACTGAAACTGAGATTCCCCCTGCTACGTGTGGAGCAGTTAGTTCATCTCCGTGTTGTGTAGCATCCTGTCCTAGAATCTTTGCTTGCCGTTCTCCCTAACTGCCGTCTTTCTCTTCCCTGCTGCCTATTTGTGTCCTAGGATCCCATTTGGAGTAATGAAGGTTAGAGGAACTTTATGGAAGCTTTTAGGGGGAGAATTCCCTTTGTCTTTAAAAGAAGAGTGAACTGAAATCACCAAGAAACGGTTCCTGCCTTTCCTCTTTCTAACTTCCTTCCCTTTCTTGTTCTTTCCCTCCCTTCCCTCTCCATCTCTCCCTTCCTTTCTTTCTTGCCCCCCCCCCCCCCGCGAAGACAGGAAGACAGCAGGGTCGGCTGTCCCCCCCCCATCTCTCCCACCTGGCAGTGCTTCATCCCCCTCCCCATTGGACTAGTCTGCTGTACTTGCGTTTCTGCGTGTTGTAAACCCAGCTCCATTTTCACATGGCTAAACGGGTCCTTCTCTGTTCACCCACACGCGAGCCGTTGGCGGTGTTTATGTGGCAGTGTCCTTCCTTCCTTCTCGTCTGAAGGGTGGCTTTGCTCGACCTGGAGCCCTGTGTTGGCAGTTCCTTTCTTCTTTGTGTGCTTGGAATGTCATCCAGCTCCCTTTCGGTTTCCGTTGTTTCCAGTGAGCGGGCAGCTGTAGGTGGTGTGGATGTCCCCTGGCTGTGAGGAGCTTCTGTCCTCTGGCTAGATGTGTCTGGGTGTAGATCTCATGGTATTTATGCTACCTTAGGGTTTGTTAAACTTCTTGGATGAGTTTTCTCTCAAATAGATTTTTGGCTGCTATTTCTTCAAATAGCTTTTTTTTTTTTTTTTTTTTTTTTTGACTTGCTTATTTATTTGAAAAGGCAGAGTTACTGGTGTGGAAGTGGGGGTTATCGTACATCCACTGTTTTATTCCCCAAAATGGCCACACCTGCTGGGGCTGGGACAGGTCTGGGTCTCCCATGAGGGTGGTGGGGCCCAAGTACTTGGACCGCCATCTTCCACTGCCTTCCCAGGCACATTAACAGTGAGCTGGGTTGGAAGTGGAGCAGTCGGGACTCGAACCGGTGCCTGTATGGGATGCCAGTGTTCCAGGCAGCAGGGGAACCTACTGTACCACAGTGCCGGCCCCTCAAGATACTAATCTGTCAAGTAGATTGTGACAAATTAATATGTCTTTTTTTTTTTTTTTTAAGATTATTTATTTGAAAGGCAGAGTTACAGAGAGGCAGAGAGAAAGGTCTTCCATCACTGCTTCACTCCCCAAATGGCCGCAATGACCGGAGCTGTGGCGATCCGAAGCCAGGAGCTTCTTCCGGGTGCAGGCGGGGGCTTTGTCCACTATACCATAGTGCCTTTTGTAGTCCTTAGAGTAACTATTAAGAAAATAACTTGGGGGGCCGGTGCTGTGGCCCAGCGGAATAACGTCCTGGCCTAAAGTCCTGGCATCCCATTTGGGCGCCGATTTGAGTCCCGGCTGCTCCTCTTCCCATCCAGCTCTCTGCTATGTCCTGGGAAAGCAGTGGAAGATGGCGCGACACTT